GTCAGCATCAAAGCCCAAACAGAGAGCTGGTCCAAAGAAAAAGTGCAAACCATTGTCGATGTACTCTTAAACCACATTTTCAATGAGAGGACAGATCTGTTCCAGGGTACTTTTCTGAAGGAGCTCTCAATGATACCATTCCTGTGTCCCGAGAGAGCCCCCAAAGAACTCATCAAGCTTCATTCGCAGTACCAAGAGATGAGTGGCACAATTCCTCTGATTCGTTTCAGTGGGTCTCAGGTAAATCCAAAATTCAAGCAAACGGATATCATTCACTTGCTTTGGACATCTTGCCCAATTCTACCCGAGAAAGCTACACCATCAAGCATAAAGGACCAGGAGGGGAACACTCTCACTGGACAGGAACAACTTGACCATGTGCTGAACACATTAGGTGTCAACTTGGATCCACCGTTGGAGAAAGTCCTAAGCAACTGCAAAAACATCTGCAACATATCCAATCCGGATGATGAAATGGTAAAAACAAGGAACAAAGTTTTAAAGTCCACCTACGAGTTTCTCAATGCAGATAAAAGAGATTTCCATTACCAACTTCGTGGAGTGGCTGTTGTCATGGTTGAAGATGGCTGGAAGTTGCTGAAACCTGAAGAGGTTGTTATTAATTTGGAAAATGAATCTGACTTCAAACCCTACTTGTACAAATTGCCTCTTGAGCTTGGTACCTTTCATCAACTGTTCAAACTTCTTGGTACAGAAGACGTTGTGTCAACCAAACAGTATGTTGAAGTGCTGTGGCGAATTTACAGAAGTTCAGAGGGCAAGCAGCTTGATCCAAATGAAATGAGAACTGTGAAAAGGGTTGTTTCAGGATTGTTCAAGTCCCTCCAAAATGATCCAGTGGAAATTCGCAAAGATCTCGAGAGTCTCAAAGATTTGATATTTTATATGCCAAGTCATGACGGTAGATTAGCTAAATCCAATAGCTTGGTGTTTGATGATGCCCCACACTACAAGAGCAGAATTCAGGGTAACGTTGGAGTTCAGATGCTTGTGGACATGAGCCAGTGCTATCTGGGAAAAGATCACGCCTTCCACACAAAGCTGATCATGCTACTTCCACAGAAACTAAGGCCGAGACTGTTGAGTGGCATTCTTGAAGAGCAACTTGATGAGGATTCTCCAAGAATGTGCCAGTTTGGAGCTCTTTGCTCACTTCAAGGCCGCCTTCAGCTGTTGCTGTCATCAGAGCAGTTCATCACAGGACTGATCAGAATAATGAAACATGAGAATGACAACGCATACCTTGTGAATGAGGAAAAAGCCATACGCCTCTGCAAAGCACTTTGTGAAGGATTAAAAGTTTCTTGTTTTGAGAAACTCCAAACAACATTACGAGTGAAAGGATGTAGCCCCATCCCACACAGCCGCAGCGAAACACTTGCCTTCCTCAAGAGGTATGGGACAGCGGTGATTCACCTCTACATCCAGCATTCAGACAGCAAAGACATTAATTTTCTCTTAGCACTGGCAATGACATTGAAGTCTGCTACAGACAATTTGATTTCTGACACATCGTATCTGATTGCCATGCTGGGTTGCAATGACATCTACAGAATCACAGAAAAGCTGGACAACCTTGGGGTTAAGTACGACTCAACAGAGCCTTCGAAACTTGAGCTACCGCTACCTGGAACCCCCATACCAGCTGAGATACATCACACACTACTCATGGATCCCATGAATGTATTTTATCCAGGAGAGTATGTGGGTTACCTTGTCGACTCTGAGGGTGGAGACATCTACGGGTCCTACCAGCCTACCTATACATATGCCATCATTGTTCGAGAAGTAGAAAGAGATGAGGAGGAAAACACAAGTTTCCTTGGAAAATGCTTCCAGATTGACATTGGTTACAGTGAGTACAAAGTAGTGAGTTCCCTTGACTTGTACAAATTCTCAAGACAAGATGAAAGTAACCATGCACGAGACACCAGTGCCCCATCAACTCCTACAAGCCCAAACAGTCGGTCTTCTGGCCCACGAATGGTCCCTCCTGCTTTTTCTGGTAAGGAAAACCTCCGACCCCCCACTCAAAAACAGTCTCCAAAAAAGATCAAGCTTCATACATTGCCTGAGATCCTGAAAGAAGTGACCTTAGTAGTTGAACAAGCTTGGAAGCTTCATGAGACGGAGAGAAAAAAGATAATCCGCAGATTGTATCTCAAGTGGCATCCAGACAAAAATGCTGAGAATTTGGACATTGCCACCGAAGCCTTCAAGCACTTACAGAACGAGATCAACAGGATGGAGAAACAGACTTTGGCTGATCAGCAAAATACAGAGAGAGCTTCCAGAAGACCGTTCTCCACATCATCATCCCGCTTCCAGTCAGAGAAGTTCTCATATCAAAGGTTTTATTCATCGTGGAACCAAGAAGCAACAAATCACAAGTCAGAAAGGCAACAGTTCAGGGAACATTATACAAGCCATGCAGGTTCATCACATTCACACCGTTTCTTTGTGCCCCCTACTTTCAAGACAGTTGGAAACCCAGTGGAAGCCCGCAGATGGCTGAGACAAGCAAGAGCAAACTACTCTGCTGCTCGGAATGATCTCCATAAAAATGCAAATGAGTGGGTTTGTTTCAAATGCTACCTAGCCACAAAACTTGCACTGATAGCTGCCGACTATGCAGTCAGAGGAAAGTCAGACAAAGATGTGAAACCAACTGCTCTAGCTCAAAAAGTGGAGGAGTACAACTCCCAGTTAAAAGGCCTTTCAAAGGATGTTCAGATCCTGGAGGGATATGGTGTGGACAGCCTGAGAACCCGCTATCCCGATCTGCTGCCATTTCCACAGATTCCCAATGACAGATACACATCTGAGGTGGCAATGAGAGTGATGGAATGTACCGCACGGATTATTATAAAACTTGAAACCTTTGTGCAGCAAAAAATATAATACTGTCGTTAACGATGAAAATGAAACTACAGTTTGCATAGATCCTCTACTGAATAGAAGGGCACCCATGGCTGTGTGCAATACAGATCATGTGTATCATTTTGAATAAAATAATAAAGTATCCAGCTGGCTGCTTATGGTACATATACAGTTTCTACCGGTGATGGGGGTGCTGTGGCCCATGCACAGTAAATAAATGTAGAGCTTCCATAACCTTTTAGGCTGTCTCAATATACATTTGTTGTAATATGTGTAAAAAGAAATCAGCATTTGCTGTACCAAAGTCCCCACATTGACTATATTTGCTCTGAGTTAGATTAATACATATGCAACTTTTTTTTACTTTCTTTTATAAATACAAAATATATATAAATATATATTTTCTTGCCACACAAAACCAGTTGTGTACTGAAAGGATATGCTTAAAATGAAATGTCAAATACTGCATATACTGTTATGCAACGGGTCCTATTTGCAAGATCTCATCAAGGGAAGGAAATCTTTGTAAACCTTTTTTGTATTGTTATGGTTGATTTCATATAATTTCTGTAAAAAGTTGTAAATTTTCTGTGACATAGCCAGTCAGTTGTTAAGGACAAAGCACTTTTATTTAAACCCATGTACTCACACTTGCAACTGTAGAGCACTTGTGTCACCCCAGCAACTCGGGAGAATCGAAATGTGAAAGGAAAACTCTTTAAATGCAATTGTTTTTTTCACTGGAGATATGTCTTGTTTTGTTCTAGCCATGTTAAAGGTCTGTTGTGCTCTATACAGTAACATTTGGTGACTGTTGTGCATCATTGCCTGTTCATATGAACAAAGTGTACTCTGGGGCTCTACAGCAAATCTGCTTTTAATACTAACATTTTGGATAGGGCAGTGATGACTGCAGCTCAGCTTTTGCTTTAATAAGTCATCCAAAAGTTGTTTCTTTTTACAGAGAATAATAAGTAGGACAGTGATAAAATACAGAGCCATATATGTGGGCATAACACCTTAAGTTAACTTTTGCCAGCATGAAACCATGTTCATACGTTTTCAGTAATTTAAACTTTTCCAGTTTAAGGAACAGAGCAGCATTAAACTGTGATGCTTGTGTGTTTAACTGCATAATTTGCTTGATTTTACATTTATTTTGAAGGACTATACACAGACCACATATTGTAAATGTCATTTTCCAACAAAATTTAAAATGTGCTTCTTGGTATTTGTTGTCCTATTCCACTTTCAGCTCGAGGTGTGGCAGCTGTGGGTGTCTCCTTGAATAAACAGTGGAGAACAATATGTATCACACATGTTGACGTACACTGTATCATAGGAAGGCAAAATAAATTCCCCTTAAATAAATTGCGTCAGCAATTTTATTTCTAGTTTTATAAAAGACGGCACAGTTTGAACTACTATTCTGTCTATGATTCAAGCAATTTTGCCACTTTTAAATTGGCATATTCTGTATTGTATCCCTTAAACATTTCAAGTTTGAAAGCAAAACAACCCCAAACATTTTCTGGATATGAAGTCAATATACTGTGATTATTGGTACCGACATGGGAATGTCACAGCTGGCAGGGGTTGTATTTGAAAGATAGTTTAATTGTGGAATTGTGTCGTTTTAGAGCATAAAAAAAAAGATTTTTGAAAACGTTTTTTCTTTTAAGTCTGAACAATTTTAAGAAAGCATTAGATTTCAAAATATGTTTTCAGTGCCAGATCTTACACTTAAACAAAGGTCAAACCTGTGCTGCAATACTGGGATGTACTGAATAAGATCAGAAATGCTGCTCCCTTTGCTTGCTGTCAATGGACTTGGTACTGTCCGTTTAGTACACCCTGGCAGTACTGCAGTGCTTTTCCACTAGAGTGCATCAGAGAGCCAATAAACATGTCAGGAGATTATCAAAACTGTTTCCATCAACACATGATAGCTTTAGTGCACAGAAGAACCCAACAGTGGACATTATGAAAATGAAATACATTAAGAGCCAGCCTTTCTGTTAAAAGATAAGATTGAACACAAAACGTGAGACCAGTCTGCAGAAAAACACGTGTGAGAATGAATAGCTCTGACAGATGCATCATAGAATAGCACAAAGTTTATTCAACATACAAAAATAAATACACATTACACACTATCAAAATAGGCCAGAACATGTGAGATTTTCTAATTATCTACTTACAAATACTGATAAAATTGTCTGATATTACTTATGCATTCTTGCAGTTGAATTAATGCTAAACTCAATGCAGCCATTACAAAATATTGCCCTTTTTGACTTCATGAACTGAGAATCTTTATCTTACAGACACAAATGTAGTTTATTCCCCGTCATGCGTATTGTGTAAAAATAAGGCATATTTGACCAAAAGCAGAACTGAAATAATACCCTTGTTTTCCACTCCGAATCATAAACTACCCATAACTACATGTAGTCCATTAGAAATGTTTAGCTTTTGCTTCCATGTTAAGGTGGACAAAAGGAATGTTTTTTCAGTCATAGACCATTGGATGTAAATGAGGTTACTGAAGAAACAGACCAGCTTACGTGCAAGAAAAACTGTTTTGTAGCTAAGGCATAATTGCATGCTTATGTGGGGCTTAAAAATACACAGGGCAAAACATACATAATTGTATTAACTAAAAAAAAACGGAAACAACTGCACACACGATATCACACTAGTAACACTTTATGGTACCATAAGCACATGGTATTTTAATGTCAAACTTTAAAAAGTAGTTGAAAGAAAAGGAACAAGTCTGATGCCTAGTGTTTTATCTGATTAGGGTAAAAATAATAATAAAAAAATCAATCTGAAGTGACAATGACAAGATATTTACCAGCATTTCATAATATTTTCCCCAATTAAATAAAAAAACATGCTGAACACCAAGACAAAAAAAAAATACATACCAAGGGCTTGGACCCAGAAGGGCATACGTATGTAGACCAAAATAACATTCTGTCCGCATTTTAAAGATTTTTTATATTCCAAGCCCTTGATATGTGTTAATTTATATTTATTTATTGCACCACAAGATAATATTGCATAGGATGTAAGCTGTTACCAGCTCCTCATTGCCCAGCCATGATACTGTGTGTAAATCTTCACAAAGCTCTGATGCTGATACATTTGGAACGATGTGTTTCAGCTGAATGGTTAGAGGATCATAAATGCAACTAAAAGGATGCATTTCATGACGTCTCCTACATGTACGCCAGCAGGCATTTGTACTTTTACAGGCCTCGATGTGCCAGTGGGATCTTAGCTCTGAGATCATCAGAGACCCACTGTGGTATAAATATTCTTTTTTTCTTTTTTTTAACTCCAGGCCGAATATAAACAGTTGTGCTCGCTGCCTCCCAGAAGACGCATCTACTGAGAGATGGAAAATCGATTACCTTGTCGGAGTCTTTCTAGCACTCCTGATTCTCGCTGCAAGTGGAGGTGACCCCAGCCTTGGACAGGAAGAGCTTGCCGCTGAGACAAACGCAGACCTCATAGAGACCCTGAGCATTTCCAGAAACCCCTCCTTCGCTCTGGGGCAAGCTCGGCATGCGGACCGTCTCAGCGTCTAGCACCAGCTGCACAGCAGACAGCGTGGAGAGCAAAGGACAATACAAGGAGAGACCAAAGATTTGTATTGAATCAACAAAGAAATATCACTGCTTCATTCTTTCCATTTAGAGCCAAGTGCGCGCGCGCACACGCACACACACACGCGCGCACACACACACGCACACGCACACAAAATGACACAGTGTGCTGGGAGATAGAATCAGTGCACTGATCCATAAGGAAGTTATGAGAATGTGATTAAAATTCATGTTCACGTGGCAGAAAAACAAATGAACACTGGAAACCAGAGAATGTGAACATTTAAATAAATGATCCAGGACCAGTTCAGTGCAGATTAACACTCAGTTTTCTTCCCTACAGCAACAGAAGAGAGATGAGGGTGTGTTACACCCCGCAACTACGTTGTCATATAAATGCTCTGCTTTACTGAGAGAAAGCAGTCAAAAAGGTCAAAATCAGTGCCTGTGATACAAATGCTTTATTTAGCCACATTCACTCTAAACATGGAAACTCTGCAAATCACTGCACCTCAGACCTATAGCGCTCAAAAGGTAATGAACTCATTACAGCTTAGACAAGGATCTTAGTGCTCTTTGTGGCTTCATAAACAACTCCTCATGCACACAGATAAGATTTACTGAAAGTCCAAAGATACAGTACAGTATAATGTCAGTGTCTTCCCTTTCCAGCCACAGGCAATGGGTACAAGTTTCACCACAAACTAAAGCAGAACGGTCTAATGAGCTCTCTCAGAGAAATCTTTACGGTATTTTGGACAAAAACGTCAAAATATATTATGGGAAAATACAGAGCTACTGTCAAATTGCAGTGGAGTGAGACACTGCAGATGAAAAGCTGTGAGAAATTAGAGAAGCGTGAAGCAGCATGTAGCTTTAAAAACATACTCATATATATACACCCTTGGTAATCCAAGTAAGATTTAAAAAAACAGACCTGAAGTTATGTTTGGAAAGTGAACATTGCTTTTCTTACCAGTCCTATACTAGACTGCAGAATGACATCCATGTTAGAAGCAACTTCAATGTTGCCGGCCAGCGCTTTGAAATGAACTCCTTTTGGCGCTTCCAAACTGAGAGAGCGAGTAGGAGACTCCAACCTAAAACAAAAAACAGCTCAGTATTAGAAGTACAAGAGTTGGTATTGCTTTAGTGGACATCATGCACATTTTGTTTGACAAAAGGACTTGACTCTTTTCTGAATATCTTCCTTTTACTTCTGAGTTTTAGTCGAAATACATTCTCCAGTAAAATGACTTGTACAAGAAGGCCAACATGCTCACCTCAGGTCTTTCAACACTTCAGATTTCAGCAGGGGCACCTCCACTGAATGCTGGAACAGGGCTCCTTCAGGCCCTGATTGAGAGAAAGTATGTATCAAGATGTGTTAAAGAATCCACGGCATGACTGACAGACAGATCCTATAATCGTGTATGTGAAATATTTTGAATACACTCAGAGCTGTTCATTGCTGATGTTTTCCGTCATTTCCAAATCACCACTTGTCTGCCATTTATCATTCAAAATAGGCTAAAAATATATTTCATGGTCCCAAGAGGATGAATACTGACTTAAGTGCTCCCCTGGTTTTAGTTCTAGTGCCACCAGCAAGACACATTTTTGTCTTTTAGTGAAATATCAACCACTGAATATTTGACGCGTTTTGTGCCAATTAGTCAGTTAGACTTAGATTGTAAACATTGGTAGGAGTGCACTTGATTTGACTCAGCATGTTAGCATTGCCATTTAGCTTAAAGCACCGCTGTGCATAAGTACAGTCCAACGGAGCTGCAAGCAAGGCTGTGGAATCTTGTTTTAACTGTGTGTTACTTCAGTTTGTGAAGCTAGTTTAAAAAAAAAAAAGAAAAAAAAAAAAGTAAGACTGGGCTGCTCTCCGTCGACCAAAATGGCCTTGGGTATAATTTAGTAATCAGCCGACACTGGTGATGACACCCTTCAACATGAATCAGCCACACAGAGTGTGGTCAGTGACCCACAGCATAATCAACACACACACACACACACACACACACACACACACACACACGGGACATAATGTGATGGATCTCACCTACATGGCATTAATGCAAGCTCAGGTGTACTGAGCTCCTGACATTTCATTTATATGCAAGTGTGCTTCAGAGTATATCTAGAGATATCCATGCACTCAGCAGTGTGACATGAATGATGGTGAAAATGACTGCATCCGTCTTTGTCCTTGGTTGCTGGATTGTTGCACAGATATCCGCCGTCAAACCAAATTGCTCCTGTTGTGTTCACATCTGTCGTCAATATGGTCTTTCCCCCCCCCCCCAAAATCTGAAAAACATTTCCGCAAAGAGGGGTGCGATATATCCGAGGGAGCAGCAGGTGGCCGCCGTTTGTATACCTGTGACTCGTAGTTTGTCTGGTCCAATCACAGCCTGGGCACCATCTGCAGTGAACAGCATGTTGTCGTTGTGGGAGTTAATGAGCAGATTTGGAGTGTGTCCCTGAGCCTCCGTTGGACCTGCAACAACAAACACAAGCAAGAATACCTGAAGGGGTTTGGAAATATTACAATCAAAATCAAATCTCTCTCCTCCTCACACTTTTCAAATCTGCAGCGCTTAGAGAATATAATGAAGCAGATTCAGGCATTGCTATGTGAAAATCTCAACCTCCTCAGGCAGTGGCAAAAAAAGTGAGTAAACAACCACTTTCTGAAAAGAAATGTGTGAAACAAGTAACAATACTGCTCAAACTGAAAGGTAGTGAAGGGTTAAGTCAAATAACCTCGGACACATTAACATTCACAGCCCTGTAGAGAGACAAATCTTAAGCAGGTGGGTCAGTCAGTGAGATATTTAACCCACTTCAGCACCTACAACTGTGAACCGGCATGGTCTCTTCTCTAACGAGCAGTTCACTTTTATTCACCGAGGGCCGAGATTATGCAGGCGATGCTTTTTACGGCTTAATGATCAAGGACACATAACGGCACTGTGGAACGCCGCAATTAGTTGGGTCATTTGTTGGCCTTTTAATTATGACAAAAGACTCAAACGCCGCCGTTGGCGAGCCATAAGAGACACAAATATGATCCTCCACTGGCCTTGGGGCCCTGTGCGTAACGTAGAACGACCCAGAAGCCACGGTAGAGAGAGAGGAATTGTGCATTTAATGGATTCTAAATGGAAATCGGAGAGATTATAAATGGAGAGACGGCTTCTTGTCACTGTTAATGTTGGATGAGGAATCGCTGCAGGACAAGTGCATGAATGACTTTACTATTGCCCTCATACATCAATGGGATACTTTGTGACGCATGAGTGCTCCATGTGTCCCTGTGTGTACACGTGTCCTCTTTCAGGCTCTTACCCACAGACATCCTCCCTGTGACATCACCATTTTCATCACGGGCCTGAAGCGAAACATTTTCCGATGAGTGCACTAGAAGTGAAGAGTCCTGAAAGAAAGAAAAAAGCCATTTTACCATGCTTTGTATATCCCAACTGATACACGGTACATTTGCAACAAAAGAAATATTGAGCTTTATTATGTGAAAGAATATTGGTAGAATTGGACAACTTTATATAAGTTAGGTCAGGTTGGTTTATGCTTTTTTAAAATGTAGTTCTTATTAATGGCTTATAACCTTATTTAGTGTTTCGTTACAGCTTATACACCCTTTACAATGGTGCCTTATTAGAAAGTGGTACTTTTTTCTTCTTCTTTTAAACAAACATGAAAAACACTCAGTAAAAGTAAGCTTTCATGAAATGTTTACAATGAGGAAGCCTCAACAATAATTCCTCACTGTTCCTTTGCAGCTGTGAGGGAGCTCCGTTTACAAAAGAAACTTTTCACGTGGAAGGCGAGGGGGATCCTCAATCTCATTAGACATCCCTACACTACATTAGAGAAAGTGTCAGTCCATAAATGAGGAATACATTACCTTTTTTAATGAGGCCCATAAAGAAGAATGAACGCTAAAAAATTGCTATGAGCAAGAAAAGTCATAACATGTAAACAACGGCAGCAAAGTGTTCCCATCTGCTTCTAGCAGGCAGGCCATAAACTACTTTCCACCGCAAATATCCCCGAGGTTAATGGAGAGCTGCGCACCACGTGCTCTGTGTGGGACTGCCAAATCCAGTTTGTTCTGACACATCTCCCAAAAAAAAGTAGAGTCAGAAAGATGGAATTCACTCACTATAGCTGGATAAAAACCGTTCGATTGTCTGCAAGGAATTAGATTTAGAAGCTGACAGTACGTTTACTCTGCACAGATCCAACTCACAATCAGGTTTAAATTTGGTAAACAGTGAGATGCAATAATGGAAAGGCTGTGAGGCTACTTAACTAAACAAACAGAAGTATGAGACTGAGCTAGAAAAAGACAGGAGGAAGGCAGAAGGTAGACTGGGAGAAGAAAAAAAGAGGGATGCAAGAGTAAAGAAGAATGTGTGAAGAAAAGTGTGTGTTCCTGATTATCCTACTTCTCTGGAGTGGATCTCCTGAGCGTAGACGGGGAAAAGAAACTCCGACTCGCCCTCCTCCAGCTTGACCCCGTCTGAGTTAACCTGTAGGAGTCCCATCCCTTCCTACAACCGGAACAAAGACACATGTAGTCAGGCAAATATTCAACAAGGCAGGTTTAAAGAAATAAAATAAAAATGTGCGAGCAAAGCAGAAATATTGACAGTAAATCAGATGAACAGCTCAATCTCTACGGTAGGAATCCAACATATGGCGGGTTAAGAAGTTAGAAATTTAGATTGTGTCATCTAACCACTTCATAGGTTTCCAAATGTGAATCACTTAGCAATGGCCTAAACCAGATAGTAGATTTAGCTGTGCAGGCACTTCATAACTGTGTGTGTGTGTGTGTGTGTGAAGGTTTGTCGAGTCCCTTTCTCTGGTTACCATCTGGACTTGAGAAGCAAACAAGACTGCATGAAATAGGAAACACAAACTATCCTGTTTCGACAGCCAAGTATAAGTTAATAATAGATAATATTACCGCTTCTACTGCTAATAATTAATATAATAAGAAGGATCATTGGGTCAATGTGATGGATACACAAGCCAAAATTTAAAAAATGATATTAGAAAGTGACGTAACAACACTGAAGATATAAAAAGAAGCATGGAAGAAAGAATGTAGGTCTGGGCAATAGATCAATGTGAGACAAGATGTCTTCATTTTGGATATCGTAATATAAGTGTCGTCTGTTCCTGGTTTTAAAGGTTGCATTCAAGAGAAGTCATTTACTGAACCTCCCAGACTGCTTGCCTTTACCCACTTTATCTTTACATCTACATTACTGATTATTTATCAAAAATCTCACTGTGTAAATTGTGTGAAAGCACCAACAGTCAACCCGACAATATCGTAATAGGTCTATAGAGTTATTTGGTCAAAAACATTCTGGATTTTGATTTTCTCCATATAGCCCAGCCCCAGAAGAACAGGGGGGAGAGAAAGGAGTGGAAACTATCCCAGCTGAAAACACAGACTGCCAAGGTGAGTCATGCGTACCGTGTTGAACCACATCACCCGGAGGATCCAGATGGTGAGGGCAAAGTTGACCACCAAGATGATGATGAGCAGCAGGACGAACAGGTAGAGGCAGCGCTTCCTCCAGCCGTAGATGCCGATCTTGTAGACGTGGTCGGGCACCGGCCTGGGCGAGCTGCTGCCCTGGGTGGTGGTGACATACTGCTCCCGCACCATCTGCTGGCTGGGCGCATCGCATGGAGGCAGGTACACGGGCGACAGAAACAGATGTTAAAGACAAAACAAACCATTTTGCTCTTTCAAGCTGTTCGGGCAGATTGGACGCGACATGCCACAGTGCTGGTGTTGTTTGTAAGGGGTCAGAAAATAAAAAGCCCACAGACTAACTATTAATGCGTAATACATGTAGCTCATCTGGCTACACAGAATTATTTTGACAAAACCAACACTATCTCTATATTATGCAATCACTTTTTGTTTAAGTTTATGTGTAAACTGTTTCTTTTCCACACATCCAGCAGTAACGGAACATTAGCATTCATCTGAAATCACATTTCCAATATTCTACTTAAGCTCTCCACCAGCTCTTGAGGGAAATATCGAAACCGGTAAAGAAACGTTACGGACCGGAAAACCAAAAGGTATTAGCTGAGAGTTGCCATGTCTGTAGAACTGAGGGGAATTGCAATGATGGGTGTGTTTGTGATCGGTTGTGTGGGTGTGCGTGCACCTCTGTGTCTGTCCAACTGTAATTCTGCACAAACTGCATAATATTTGTGTGGCCAGTTACGGCTGCATGCTCAAGGACAATTCTGCCATCGTATGTCTGTCCTTTCTCGATGCTCTTAACCAGCCATTTTCTGCTCTGAATCAAGTCATGAAGTTGAGTTCCATCTCTGACAAGCAGCTTTTACACATCCTGTAAAATCTGAATGCACCTATGTTCAGTTCGAGCCTTTGCTTTTTAGATGTATACGTGCACACTGAATAATTTCGCCTCCATACAATGTCTTGTTCACAAAGTGCCCAGTATATCATTCATGAGCCCAGAGCTCACGCACAGACCCAAGTGGATATCTGGCTCTTTGCACCAATGGAAAACTTGGCAGAAATTCCAGCGTTTTTTTGTTTTTTTTTTCAAAGTCAGAAAGGAAAATGCCAGTTATTACAGAGGTGAGGCAGCGCCTTCTGGCCACGCAGCAGCAGGCCATCAGCGACAAAAACCAAGGAGATGAATGTCGGCATATTTCAAACCACAGCAAGTATTACCACAAACCATCATTTTGTGTATTCAGCTCACGCGAGGGCCAGCGGAGCTCCAACTGCAGGAGTGCAGGACCTGCGAGCAAGCCCTCCAGTCAGCACATTTAGACCATCTGACAATGTGACAACAGGGAACCTCAGGGACAGATTACACAAAGACACTGTTAGTGTGCGTTTGAGCACAGCGGAGAGCCGAGGACCCCATGAGGCTGCAGAGGGGAGCAGTGTCACTCCTTTGAATAATCTGCATTAATAACCAGACACGAGCTGCAGAGAAAGCTGCTTTCATCCGGGGTCAAGGCCTGGACAAAGTGCTGTCAGTTGTAGATTATTATGAGTTAATAAAAACCACCCAGAACCGGCAGAAACAAAAACAGACCGCAGCTTTTCAAGCAACAAACTGTTCCAAATCATCAATACTTTATAGCCACATCTAAAAACTTAATAGGAAAAGTTATCTGAACAAAGCCGTATATAAGTTCTCTCAGCAGTGCATTACATCCAGTAGCCAGGTTGATTTACATACGGGGCAGATGTTGCATCTTACTGCCACAGTAAAGGCGGTTTCCATCATGTTAAGGAGCCACTTTTCACACCAAAATCTATTTCTTCTTTGACATGAACAGATGTTCAAGCTGGGCACATCATCGCGCTGTGACTCCCATGAGAAGGGCTACAAGAAGAAAAGCGCCGGCAGACTGCATGCATTATGAACAAATGGAAATAAGTTGCGTTTCTGTAAATAATGTGGTAAATATTCCACCCTCTCAGCTAGTGGTGATGGATAAAAAGCAAACGTGCTCGCTGCTGGGGTCTGAGCTCACTGAGGTCCAGGAGAGATTTTAGAGAGCCAATAACAAAAAGTTCTGTAGTCGCCACAGCTCGTTTCTTGCCGTTTGCAGTAAACACAGGGCGGAGATGCGTTTGCATAAAAGGCTGAGTGTATTTCTATGACCGAACCCGCCTCTCCACAGGACCTATCACATGGCCTGCTAGCCCAGCTGTGATGAATAGCCCTTATTTCACAACCAAACATGAATTTTCTCTGAAAAAAAAAAAAAAAAAGACTTTGTGCCTTTTCCACAGGGGAGAGAATATTGAAGATTGATGAGTAGTAAGTTATGTAAAATGGTCATTCCCCCCCCCTGCATTTCACCTCATTTAAATGTATCAAGCGTACTTGAGAATGAGTCATGATGACAAATTGAATCTCCGTAACGCAGCAGAGAAACAGTAAAGTAAAGGTGTATGCAGAGTTCTCCATTGAGGCTCAAAAGCGGACTAAGATGAATTACTGTCTGTTAAATTGACCTATTCCAATATCCCCTGCACCATACCCATTAACCACCACAGATCATTTGCATGTTAACATGTTGATCAGCCCACTCTGCACTTTGGGCAAATGAGTGGCGAGGGTGGGAGAGCTCTGGCTTTGTTCATTATGGCGTTAATGGATTTGATCTAACCCAGTCTAATGACTTTAAATGAAGGCATTAAGAGGACTCTGTACATCTGCAACGGTGGGACGAGGAAGCAGTTCTGAAGCTGGATCTTTAAAGGCGTCCTCCAGCTCCAGTTCCAGTGTAACCACCGGCCCCTCAGCCACAAACTGCTCCTTCCATAGCAACCCAAATAAAAACACTCCCCGAAGAGCCTCACTGCTCACGTGCCAGGAATGCTCAATTTATAGGACTTTGATCGGAAATACAGTCTGACCTTCTGGAAGAAAATAGTTTTTTTGCCTTTTTATGCCTCCTGGTGATAAATTGGTTGCTTCAAATGAGATTCTCAATCTGAAACAAATGTGGGTCCTACACCACAAGAGACGACTAAAAGTCAAGTTTCAAAAAGGCACTGTAGACCTCAAACAGTCCCTTGCTCCCAAAGATGAAGAGCACTTTGTTCAGGACTCTTAGCAGGGCAATTCATCCCGGGGCAGCCTCTCAATTAACCTTAAACAAGTGATGCTCCTGGCTCGGCTCAGTCTCTGACCTCTGGGTGAGAACAAGGGATAGGCAGGCAAACTGCTGGTCCTGAATCCACGGAGTCTGGCTGTAATTGAGAATCCATTGCTTCCCTCTGAGCAGAGTCCAAACGGCAAAAGTTGCAGTGAGTTAGGGAAGCTCAAATCATGGAGAACGTTCGCAGAGGAATACTCAGGAGTTCTGTGTGTGGAGTGAGGAGCGATCGAAAGCTAAGCACAGGGCTGAAGTTTGTGTCTGTCTAGCGAGTAGCCGGCGACACGTCTCCACTCTGATGCCTTAACTTCTAAAAATAGGACACAGCATTGTGAACTAAATTTAAAAAGGCAGCACAGATACACACACACACACACACACACACACACACACACACACACACACACATTACATGGGGTATAACTAATGGAAAATAAGACGCTGTAGTATTGCTCATAACACACAAAACATAAGTGAGGTGCTCTTTTGCTTAAGTTCTTTTTGTACGGCAATATTTCTGGCCATGTATGGTAAAACTAGACAGCCGGCAACCTAAAACACTTTTTTTTCTCCAAACTACAAAGTAGTCACAGCACATTGTGAGGCACAAAGAAGAAAGACATTTAGAGGGATTGTGCAGTAGGTAAAAATGTTGCCTTTATAAACATTACCTTTAAAGACGAAGTTCTGAAAGAAAAAAGAAAGAAAGGGCAGAGCACTCACCGTTGTGTGTTCAGGCACAGCAGTCCTCTTCTCTACGCAACGGTATAAGCAGAGCTCGAGCTGGTAAGAGCAGCTGGAGAAGCAGCAGTGCTTGAGCCACTCACTCGTCTGTCAGCCACTCAACAGCTGCGTGCCATAAATCCAGCTCTGGAAGCGCCCTGGTTAATCACCACGAGACGGCGCTCCCACCACGACTCCCTCTGCCGTCTCAGGCTTCCTGCAGACATTTGAATATCATCAGAGTCAGAGAGAGAGAGAGAGGGAGAAACAGAGGAGGATAAATTAACCCATCAGTGGAGAGGTTCAATCTCTCTCACACAGAAACCACCCGTAATGAACAGAGGCAGTTGTTTGTCATGCATACCAGTGAGTCACTTTCTATTGCCCAACCCAAGGCAGTCCAGTCTAATTTGAGACTTCAGTCATGGCTCTCAACATAAAGTTAAGCTGCTCTTTCAGATAGCTCCGCTGGGTGACAGGCAGCCGGGTGGGGGTGGGCGGGTGGACCTTGAGGAGGCAGTTAGTAAGTCAGAGTGGCAGAGGAGACAGGCAGCAAACACAGCGTATTAATAGACAGGGGGGGTGAAGGTTGCAGTTGTTGGAATGGGAATTGTTTTAGTCAAGGTTTTTGAATTATTTCAGTCGCAAAACAAAGTGAATTCTCAGAACCTTTCATTGTGTATTTCAGGTAAACAAAACAATGATTCAAGGTCATGCTTCAATATTACTAAAATAGGTGTTTCATGCAGTTAAAAGTTAACTGACACAAACTAGCTCAGAGGATGTGTGAGGAGCGAGCAGAGGCGAGAACATCAGCTTAGAACAATTGATTAAACTAAGGTTGTCCAAACAATGGAATGAGTACATCAGTAGAAAGCACTGTGTGGCGTGTGTGTGTGTGTGTGTGTGTGTGTGTTGCGGGACGGTGCAAAATAAATCCGATGCAGAGTGGATGTCAACTGTAGGAAGGGAGAGAGTGAGCACGTGGACCAGCTTTTATAGTCCAGGTGAGCCTAATCAGCTGACGAGCCTCACATGTCAGACAACTGACTGCTGAGGTTGACCAGGACCTCCTCCAAGACAGTGGGAGGGGCGTCACATATCATACTCCTGTTATGTTGTCATTTAACACCATGTGTAATGTAATGTAATGTAAATATTAGCATGTATATAGTTTGCATATACTCTTGCTTAACTGATGGACTTCTCTAATGTTAAAGTGGCTCTATGGGAGGTTTTTTTTGTACTATTAAGAGGACACTCACCCATCCTCAGGAACAGCTGCTTGATACGCCTACCGATGACGACTTGGTCGACATTTATTGTTGGTGACAGGTTAAAGAGTCCTGAAGCTACATGATAGTGCACACTCAAGATACTGAAGCTGTAAAAAAAACAGATTTAAACAAGAATTCCTACATATTTATGGACACAAAGTTTTTTTTTTTACCTTTTACAATTTTAACAATGTGTAACATTAAAAGGCAGTGCACCCAAACGGGTGTTTTTGGTAATTAACTGAATAGACTTATTATTCTTCTTCTTCTCAGGTTGAAGTTGGACAGAGATATTCTGTAAACCAGCATTTTTGCAGCAGAAATTCCAAATTGTATTCCTTTTCACTTTTAGTCAAGGGGGCAACCTTCGGTGTTGAAAAATGAAGCAAACACGGAAGTGCTAAAACCTGCACTTCCTCAAATGACCACCTGAGGCTGGCTCCGAAAGCGAGTCAATCCCCATAGACCCCCATGTTAGAATGTCCCACTTTACAGCAGAAATAAACGTGTTTGCAGCCTTTCTTTCGTCTGTTTACATTTTATTAAGGCTTAAAGTTATGCACAATTAAGGGCACCTTGCGTGACAGGTGGTTGCACAACCAGGTTGCTAGATGCTGTGAAAAAAAAAAAGATTTATTTGACTTGTCATAGCCTACTGCATAATGAAAAGCACAGGTGTTACCGATAACATCAACAAGGTGCTGTTTTCCATTAGTGTCCATGTAATCCATGACAGTGTCACGCATGCAAGAAATTAACATTGGTTTATATTCCACTCCCGTTCAAGTGAACGGGTGAATTTAACATTTGCTTCCTGTGGCAAAGCAAGTTCCATTAAGATTAAGAGCCACCTTCGTTGTGCATACACACTTTAAAGGGTGAAACAGATACAGAGAGCGGTATTTGCCATCTGCTCCATTACATGAATGAGAATGTATTTAGCAAAAATGTTTTCGTGCAATGCTTATTTATTCTGTAATAAATCAACCACCAGTGACAGATGAGGTTTTTCCTCCAATGGGCCACAGATACTTCCATACAGAAGACACACCCGAGCCCAGAAAATACACACTTATAAAGAATTTAGTTATGTGTGACAATTGGTCTGCTAAAAAAAAAAAATAATCCAGTTTATCATGAGAAGTCACCTCCAATGAAAAACCAGTAATGTTTGTGTTCCCACAGGCTGATGCTGGAGGAACTGATGGGAGGCGCATCTGTCAGCGGCATGAATCCTGCAGTTTGTTTTGCTGTAGCTGCTCGAGGTAGTGCTGAGCAGTGACAAAGGGATGTCTGACCGCATCAATCACAAGACCCTCCCCCTCCCCCCCTCTCTCTAATGCCACGAGCAAACATCCAACAGTGGGGATAGCTTAATTTCATGCCATCTCTTATCAATATCTCATAACCTTTCACTGCCTGTGGCTTTTAAACAGACAAATGGAAGACATAAATGATAGATCTCTTGCATCAAGAAAGAAAAAAAAAAAATCCATCTCACACTGAAATCCAGGTTAGTCGAGTGAAGACGTCTCCTTGACAAACACTAGGTACATGGTGTACATGCAGCAGAATTGAGAACTTTCATTAACAAGGACGCTGATGGTAACTGAAAGCCAAACACACTGAATGAGGTGTGAATGCCTTCTTAAATGCTCAGGAGTGTGAACACTAATCCCCAGTGTGCAGTTTAGAGCAGATTACCTTGACAGCTTCGAATTTTCAAAATACCTCAAACCAACCAGTGTAATAAAAAATAAAATAAAGTCCAGTGTCCACACGAGATTGAGGACACTGCTTTGTTTAAGTACAAAAGGTAAAAATCCACAATAACAAAGCCCTTCAAACTTTTGTATGTTATTGAAGCAATGTGCCTTTATTTTTAGAGGATGTTCTTAATTTTGGACCGTGTTTGCCTGCACATACAATAGCAACTTCGGTTTAATGTCACATTTTCACGATAATTTTTATACATGGGACAAGATAGATTACGAACGCCCGTCAGGACATTTGTTGTTTACCTTTAACTTGGCATAACTTGCATCAGACCAAGGACCAGCTCCACTAAGACCAGTACCTTGGTCCAGTGCAAATACAGTTGTGTGAAAAAGTGTTTGCCCCCTTCCTGATTTCTTATTTTTTTGCATGTTTGTCACACTTAAATGTTTCAGATCATCAAACAAATTTAAATATTAGACAAAGACAACACAAGCAGTGGTTTTCGTCTTGGAACTCTGCCATGCAGGCCATTTTTGCCCAGTCTCTTTCTTATGGTGGAGTCATGAACACTGACCTTAATTGAGGCAAGTGACGCCTGCAGTTCTTTGGATGTTGTTCTGGGGTCTTTTGTGACCTCTTGAATGAGTCGTCGCTGCGCTCTTGAGGTAATTTTGGTCGGCCGGCCACTCCTGGGAAGGTTCACCACTGTTCCGTGTTTTCGCCATTTGTGGATAATGGCTCTCACTGTGGTTCGCTGGAGTCCCAAAGCTTTAGAAATGGCTTTGTAACCTTTTCCAGACTGATATATCTCAATTACTTTGTTTCTCATTTGTTCCTGAATTTCTTTGGATCGCAGCATGATGTCTAGCTTTTGAGGATCTTTTGGTCTACCTCACTTTGTCAGGCAGGTCCTATTTAAGTGATTTCTTGATTGAGAACAGGTGTGGCAGTAATCAGGCCTGGGTGTGGCTAGAGAAATTGAACTCAGCTTTCCAAAGATGTGACAATCACTTTTCACACAGGGCCATGTAGGTTTGGATTTCCCCCCCCCCTTTAATAATAAAAACCTTCATTTAAAAACTGCATTTTGTGTTTACTTATGTTATCTTTGTCTAATATTTAAATTAGTTTGATGATCTGAAACATTTAAGTGTGACAAACATGCAAAAAAATAAGAAATCAGGAAGGGGGCAAACTATTTTTCACACAACTGTACATGCAATATGACCTTATTTATACCAGACAGCTTTCCAGGTGTATAGAGAAAGTACCCACAGGACATCCATATGAATATGGAGTGTATGTACTTGACTCAAGACCAAAGGAACTACAAAATTGTGCCATCTAACCATTTCACTTGTTATTTTAGTCCAGAGTAATTTTCCTGGTTGAAACATGAGTCTACATAAATTACGAATTAATTGTGACCAACTAAAAATGAACACCTGGTTGGAAAAATTACCAACCTAGCAGTTAATCCAGTTACTGAGACATGAACAGTAAACAATTACACGGATATGATTTTGTCTTTACATTTTTTTTTATTCACCTTTTATTACAAACAGCTCATCAGAGGAAACAGGAGAACCTGCAAGACAGAGAGGCTGCAGGTCAGTGCTTGCAACCAAAAAAACAAACAAGGAGAACTTGTACAGATCTATCGTTTGTTTACCCGATTATGCTTTCTCGGCTTTCTCTGCCTTCTCGGCCTTTTCAGCCTTCTCTGGTTTCTCTGGCTTCTCTGGTTTCTCTGGCGCTTTCTCAGCTCCCTCCTCATCTCCACCCTTGGTGTTACGGGTGTAAATGAGCTGTGCTCTGTGTTTGGACACCAGTTTGATCATGCCTGGAAGACAAAAACAGTACAATGTTATGCAAGCTCTTTTTTATGCACACAACCATTTCATATGTTCATTTATTTTAGTTACCCTGCAACTAATGCTTTAGTCTAATGGAGTTGACAGACGCGTCTTTTGTTTCATTTGAATACTTATAACAAGCGATTTATGTGCCTGTGAGACAATGTCACTAAAACGTGATAGGTAACACAATTCACTCAAAGTTCCTCTTTTAATGCATTTAGCAATGCTTATTTTTTTTAATTCCAACAGACGGCAAACCCTTCTGTTACAGGTTTCATATAGAAAAGACAATGAACCAAGTCCTCCATTTGTTATCTAAATGGATTGCTTGATGTCTGATGGGAAGCAACAACGTTCCACATTACTAAAATGTTTTGAAACAGCGTTCACTGTTTTGAAGAGAAGAGTGAAGGATTTCAAAATAGACAAAAACAATGTTGTGGCTATGATAAGTGATGTTAGCGGTACACACGCTGCACATCACTCATGCAAATCACGGTCATTTGGGAACAAACGATGGAACCGCCACAGAAACACGTTAGCATGGATACGTAGTGCGAGAGCATTTATAAATGTTAAGACGAGGCCGACGAGCAGCGCCGATGACATGAGCTTAATGTTGCATCACAATAGTGTAGATGACAAAACATGTTATTGTTGCTCCTCAAACCATCTGCACCTCTGCTTTTAAATCAAAAGAAATGTATTCTGGCAGATGATTACTCAAGAGGCTGAAGGAAGTATGAAGCTCAGCTGAAATGTTCAACACAAACAGAAAATGTGTAGTACGGTGCGCTGTTAAACACTCCAATGCACCAATGCGGGATATGGGGCAGAGAAATAAATAAATTCACCTTTAGCGAGCAGCTCCTGGAGAGCGTTCCTGGCCAGGGAGCCGCGGATCTTCAGCCTCTCAGACACAACAGCCGGGGTGATGAGCTTGTAGTTGGGGACTTCTTTGTACAACTTTTCATAGGTTGCCTTGTCGAAGAGTACCAGGTTGTTGAGCTTATCCCTAACCTTTCCCTTGGACCACTTCTGCTCAAATCACACAAAAAAAAATATAGTTTCTTTGATTAGGAAAGCTCTGTAGTATGCCTGATCAGAAACTATTCACACACACATCACATGTAAAGTGAAAATCGTTGATTATTAACCACTACATACCTTCTTCTTGGCTTTGCCTCCGGACTTGTTGACTGGGTCCTTGTCCTTTTTGGACTTCCCAGCGTCCTTCTTCTTGTCCTGCTTAGGAGGCTAAAAGCAGAGGACAACGAGTTATAACCCTTCACAGTCTCTCACTGAGGCTAACGTTACACGTGGGCCATGTCAGGTTCAACGGCTGTGTTTTAAATACAATGATGCTTATGATGGAAAAAATGTTCAGCTGATTGACAGAAAAGCCGGAGGATAACGCTACTGGCCGGCATGCGATGGCCTTGCCTCAGACCTCAGAAAACGTTCAAAACTCGCTATTTGCATTAAATATTCTCAGTGTTATAACAGGCGACATTGTAGTCGTTCATTGATCGCGAACAACGGGTGAACTATATTTACATAACAATAATTTAAGGGGGAAGTGACGGGTCATTTTCTTTAACCAGTTTAACATGAAAGCATGGAGGATTTAGCAAGCTAGCTAGCAAGCTAGCCAACCGCTAAATGAGTCAAATCTAACCCGTTAATCCTTCATCTACACACTCCGGTTACATCGTATGAACGCACAATGCAGTCGCGAGATCATCCGAATAACTACAACTCGACATCAGTGACTGAAAGGTGGAAGATCTTTTAATTTGTTTCGACAATACGTGTAATAACTGTCCTCACCATGTTTCCTCGTCAAGATGTCGGAGCGAAAGGAAGTCCACCCGTGCAAGAGCCCCTTAGACAACCCGTTTATGCGGAAATGGAATAGGGAGTTATGGGAAATTGAGTTTTATTGTTTTTTATTGTTATTGGCTCCCCGAATTGCTCAGTTTTTGCACATAGACTATATAGTTATACCGGCAGGTTTGAGTTTGATACAAAGATAAAAGTAATTTAAAAAAACAACATTATTTTTATTTTTTTGCTGTCCTGTCACGCTTCCGGTCACGTGACACGTGTCAGCTGGGCAGGACGGACGTTGCAAAGATGGTGATCTACAGTGTTTATGTGGTGAACAAGGCTGGAGGTTTAATTTACCAATATGATAACTACGTCCCGAGAGCGGAGGCCGAGAAGACATTCAGCTACCCGTTAGATTTAGTGCTGAAGCACCACGATGAAAAGGTCGTCGTGTCGTTTGGACAGCGGGACGGAATCAGAGGTAACGTGTTGGAGTGTAACGTTAGCTCGTTCTACTAGCCAGCAGGTAGTTTACTCAAGACCTAAACAAATCAAGTACATGTACTAATACATGTCATTCTCCAGTGGGCCACGCAGTGCTGTCCATCAACGGAGTCGATGTGGTGGGCAAGAACACAGCAGAGGGGAAGGACACCCTTGAATATTTAAATGATCCCGCAAACTACCCGGTGTCTATTCGCTTTGGTCGGGCACGCCTGAGCTCCAACGAGAAGCTGATGCTGGCATCCATGTTCCACTCGTAAGTCCAGAGGACTCTGCGTCTGATGTGTTTCTACCTGATGTGTTTCTATATTGATACCAATTCAGCCAATGCTGAGCACCAATCAAATACAAAAGATTAGGATCATTCCTCTGTGTCTACAGTAACAGGAGGATGTAACTGCAGCCCATATAAGTGGATTAAGACCCCCTTATCTTTGTGTTTCTCCCCCCCAGGTTGTTTGCTATAGGTTCACAGCTGTCTCCTGATGTTGGCAGTTCAGGGATTGAGATGCTAGAAACGGATGTTTTCAAACTCCACTGCTTCCAGACTCTCACAGGTCAGTAGCGTGTTACTGTAGGTGAAACAAGGACCCGTGCAATCATGTTCATTGTCATGAGCAACTATCAGGGAAAAAGCAGACGGTGATATTAAGTCCCATTTAAAAAATCGACCCACTTGGTATCCTCTCGTTGTTTTAAACTGATGTCCTCCTCATTGCTTGTTTCTTCGCTGTTCTTTCAGGTATAAAGTTCATCGTGCTGGCGGATCCTCGACAATCCGGTATTGATGCGCTGTTGAGGAAGATCTATGAGATCTATTCAGATTTTGCACTCAAGAACCCGTTTTATTCTCTGGAAATGCCAATCAGGTAAATACGGATGATGTTGCTTCCCATTCTGTGTCCTAAAATTAGTCGTTGGTTTTTGTTACGTTTTAGATTACATATCAAGTGTCCACACTCGCACATCCAATTGCGTGCATCCTCTGATTTTCAGGTGTGAACTCTTTGACCAGAATCTGAAAGGTTCACTGGAGATCGCAGAGAAAGCTGGCAACTTTGGAGCCGGATCGTGAACCAGAGAAGACTAGATAGAATGTGATATGATATCTAACCACAACAGACTCACTGACTTCATATGAAGGTGGTTAAAAGCGGGGGGGGGGGAAACAAATGGATTTTCTTTGTTTCTTTTTCCAAGTTGGTATCGGGACTGTCGGTCAACAAATTGTAAATACATTTTGTTTTGTAAATACTTGAAGATTAATTACATACTGTTTCACATGTTTGTTTTTGGCTGCATTTATATGGACTTGAGTGATTTAACTGTAGTGAGCTGAGCATTGAGCATAAACTATGAAACCTAACAACAAAGTGTCATTTATTCAAGCCATTGAAGAACACACGTTTAGTTTTCTACAAAAAAAGATGTTTAATTCTTGTAATTCCATTCATGATTCAATATTACAAAGTAGTTTTATTTAAAAACAGATACTGTATAAAATACCAGTTTAAAGTTTTGTGCTCTTTTAATTGAAATACAAAAGTGTCTTAAAGAGAGGAAACCGTTCTCTGGATGTGTTTTTGCCACATTCCCATTATATGGCAAACAATGTGTAGTCATTTACATTTTGTTATTGATCTCATGAGTATTAATACTGTAGAAAAGCACTTTTCTTTTTTCAAGAAAAGGCACTCAACGTCTCAGGGCTTAGCTTACGTCCTGTAAGACAAAGTACTATGGTAAAAAAAAAAATCAAGTTACAAAAATATTAAAATACATTGATGGCTTAAAGTATCCAGTTTTCTTCTGGGTGTAAAAATGTTTTAGTCGGCCTTCTTGGACACGTGACCCATCTTGGTGCGGATGTTGCGCAGTAGGAAGAATCCAACCGTGGCGACGCCACAGGTGATCTCTGCTACCCAGAAGGCCATTTCCCAGCCGTGGTGCTTGGCAATAGTGCTGAATGGAAGTCCAGACAGGAAGCCACCAACTGAGGGGAGACAAGTTTACTCCCAAGGATTAGAGAATATACAAAGTATGTCTTACAGTATATAAACTAAACCAAGTAAACAGTATCACTGAGGAACTATTTGTAAAGTATCATTAGTGTTACGGCGGTTAGTAACAGCTGTACGTCGGGCTCCATATGTGCACCACTCAACTTACCGTTAGCCATGAGGGCAACAATGGCATGTGATGTCCCACAGTAGTTGGAGGGGGCGCTCTCATTGGCTATAACTCCGAATAACGCTATTGGTCCATAAGACGAGAAACCGAAAGCAGCACCCAAGCAGAGTATCCACACCTGGACGTACAAATGAGAGGCACAGTCGTGATGTTTACAGGCTTTTAATAATCTCTTCATTATTAACTTTTGTCGAATGGGATGTCTGCGTTCGAACAGATACCTTTGAGCTGTCGGGAGTAACTGTGACTCTGAACAGGAACATGGACACCGACATTCCAACCATCATGCAGATCAGGATGAAATGGCGAGGATTGCCATAGTTTCTCGTGCCTTGCTGTAGAAAATAAGGAAATAAATAATAGTTACACTGGTTTATGTTGTTGCTAAATTCCATTTTCATTCAATTATAAAATGGAGACCAAAAATCAGAGACAATGTATTGTCATTTATGGGGCTGTGATACATCTGAGACTTGGACTGTGCAAATAAGTGTGAGTCACAGACACAGTCCTCCGTGCTTATCGGTAACACACACAGTATATGACATTATTGTTTATTGTGTAGGACGAAGAGCGGATGCTTAACTGACATCTTACAAAAATTAAACAGATAAGATTTGTAAAAATATGAGGGAAGACCAAGGCAGTCCAGGAATAATCAACATGTTAGTTAGTTATCATGAACTTCCCTGACATGTACACTACCTCCATGGAAGTTCTGGTTAAAACAAAAAACACTTTCACCATTGTCTCTCCTTGCAGGGACTACATTGGCCAAAGGGTAAAGTCAGTAGTGGTGCACATATCTGAATGTACCCTTTAGGCCAGTAAGTGCATTTATACCCACATAACTTCCAAAATAAAAACAAACAGCCATATTGTGGGAAATGGTTATAATCAATATTTTTTTCATATGACAAGTATTTAAAAATGATTCACGTGTACCATATTCAAACTCACTTTGGCCACCGCCTTGTCAGAAAAGTAACCTGCTGCGAGACTGCCGAACAGGCCTCCAACCTCCAGCGCACTCATGTATGAGCTACCTATGAAGAAGAAATACAGTGATTCACAAGAAATAACATAACCTGACCAAAATGAATCCTCAGCATGTTTCCAAACATAAACTGGAGGCCTCTACGCTACGCTCTCTTCCGTACCCATAAGTGTAGACTGGCCCTTATCCTGAATGAGAAATAGCTGGCCCCAGTCGGTGCAGGCTGTCTTCACCCCGAACACCACCAGGTAGGACACGGACAGCAGCCACAGGTAGGGCGACAGCAGGAACTCGGACATGGTGCTTTCATCACTGGAGGATCCTGAACAGGAAGCAGGCAGAAGACGGAGTATTATTATTCACAGAAGGATCTCTGCTTCTGATCAGACTAATGCATGAAACATTGCCTCTTTCTCACATTGACTGTGTACAAATGGCATGAGAGGGGCACACTGGGTACAGAGTCCACAGAGTCACCGACCTTTAGTCAAACATAAGAGGCACATGCTGTGAGAAAACAGACACGTACACATCTAGACAATGCACCGCTGCATATTAAGTATGGGTACTGCCTATGTTAAAATAAATAGACTGTGCCGTATTCAGAGAGGTAATGGCAAAAAAAACAACAAAAAGTTATTAAGAATCACCTCCTTTGCTCTTCTTGGCTGCTGCCTCTATGTTGGGCAGCCCCACGTCCTTCGGCTCATTCTTGATGAGCAGCAGACAGAAAAAGGAGGCCGCCACACAAATCATTCCAGATACGAACAGTATCGACCTCCAGCTGTAACTCTGGGTCAGCACTGTGGCAATAATGGGGCCCAAGCTGCCAGCCAGATTCATGCTGCAGGAGAGAATTGCCCACCATGTCCCAAACTGAGAAGGCTCAAACCACTGACAGAAGAAGAGAGGAAATAATTACATGGAGTCATGACAGAGTTGACAGGAAGTGACATTATCTTGCCTTTGATATACAGGAGGGATGAAATAATTGAATCGGTGCAATCTTCTGAATTGACAGCAGGTAATAAATAACACGTGTGACGGTCATTTGACAGTTGCCAAATTGCATGATGGCGACGAATCCGTGAGGTCAAACAAGGGAAGGAGGAGCTTTTTCACTCATACTGTACTGTGCATACATTTTGATTTTGAAGGTGTTTCTACCTATAACTGAACCCAGTTCAGTCAACTAGGTGTATCATGGTGCCTATTTGTTTTTTTAAAAACAAAAGAGAAGAAAAAGAAACGTATTGAATTGGATGTCTATATTTAGCTGCACTGATGTACTGGCTTGATGCTAAAGTACCTTGCGCAGCACCCTGCCACAGGGAGGCCAGCCGAGGCCCTGGCCCAGGCCGTTGAGGAACCACAGGGCAGAGAAGACAGCGACAGTGGAGGACCAGGAGAAGACCACGTTGATGCCTCCCACCATGCACAGGCCAATGGAGAAGAGCCAGCGGGCGCTGATCTGGTCCGAAAGCACGCCACTGATGAACTTACTGATAGCGTAGGCCAAAGACTGACTGCTGGTGATCATGCCTAAACAAAGGAAGGGCAGTAGGAGAGACGTTTACACATTACAGATAAAAAAATGTAAAAAGCAAGATGATCTGGTCCCAAATCTTTATACAGTTCTCTGTAAAGCACACAGCTGACAGTCTACCAAGAAATATAGTGTGTGAGGATAAGTCAACGTATAAGTCAGGGCTGCTTAGGATGTTGACATTTTGGGGGTGAATAATTCATACATCTTTAGATTTTTACAATTCCAATGTTTTAAAAAGAGTTCCATGAAAAATACTACCTCACTATAACAGTGTTAATTGTGACTTATATTCCTTTGTATGTAGACAACGTGCCAAACACAACAATCAGGCATAAAGTCGATGATAAATCAAGAGTGTCATACCCAGGTCATCCTTATCCAGCTCAATTTCTTGCATGAGTGAAGGCATCACAAAGGAGAAAGTCTTTCTGTTAAAGCAGTACAGCATGTAGCCCACAAACATGGCCGTAAATATAGTGCCTTGGTAGTATCCATAACTCGCTGTAGCCATGGCTGCAGATTTAGTCCTATAAAAATGGGAAAAACTGGAAGAATAGAGGACCAATCCAGCAAAAAAGGAGCAAGCTCCTGTCGTTTGACAGACTTCTTGACAGTGAACTTTGCTACAGGATCCACCGTATGGACTCAGCTGCTTACAAAGTGGAGATGTGCTCGCAATCAGTGAGAGAGGTTAATGGTCAACTTTTCTGACCCGGAGCTGATTTAATCTGGGTTGTTACCATCCGCTGCAGGCCAGCCAGAGGGTTTGGAGAAGGAAATCAATCAGTTTGTGATCTGTTGTTTTCTTGAGGCTCCTATTTACAAAAAAAAGGGTCCTTCTACTTGAACAATGCATGTGTATGTGTTGTTGTTTCTCCATCTGAGGATGTTATGGAAGGAATCCTCATATTGATTTGGGTAATGATTTACTGTAAAGTCCAATAGTCACAGCAGACCAGGGGGAGGCTCCTCTGTGGGTGAGGGGATGATCCTCAGCAGCAAAAGACCTATCCGACACAAACAGTGGGTTCAAAATGTTTAGAAAGTTGCATCAGAGAGATACAAAGTCAATGAGGGTTGCAGACAAGACAATGTGAATAAAACATGAAATATAACTGTAAACATGAATAAAAATGCTTGTCTAGCCAAAAGTAAAACTACATAATCGTCCATACTTTAATGCAGGTAGGTCGTGTGTAAAATGTGACGCATGCGCATTTGACCAAACCAGTCTTTAGTGTAATTAAACAACTCTCTATCTCTGTATGTCCACCTTCTCTTTACTACACGTTGACTATCAATTAACGTTGACAGTGATATTAATCTACGGAGATTATCATGCTGAACAAAACGTTTAAGTGTCATAATATTGTAGTTGCCACAGAGTTTATTTTCTGCAATAATCGAAAACGCAATAGGAAAATACCATTGATTTGTGTTGGAGGGAACCGGTGCGATGCTAACTTCCGGTGTTGGTGAGGTGGCCTAGAAAAAGACGTCATTCATCAGAGCCCTTTAAAGGCTCATTTAAAAGCCCCTTTAAACACCAGGCGAGTTATAAAACCCACCAAAAGAGGGTCTACAACGATGCTGACTTGGCCAAACTTCCATCATGACTACGTGCAACGCCGTTCTCTGTCCGTTACGGAACACGCTCCGCACAAATGGTTCCATGCCCGTAGGCTTTTTTAATTTTTAATTTTTAATATTCATTCGTAGACTGCTGAGACTAAGATAGACATTTAATATTGTCACACAGACGTTCACAACTTAAAAGTGGCATTGCTTTTAGGATCAAATCTACCCTCGTCTAGTCCAGTGTTAATTTGACTGTAAAGCGTTATATAGTTACATAACATATTTTTTTAACCCCATAATTTATATCTTCAACTGTGCAATACTGATTATTATATAATGTAATGCAATAATTCAACTGTGAACATTAATTCTGGTTTACTTTGACATCTTTACTATGACAGCTGTCATAACCGTGTAATTATTTATACTGCGCATTTAAATAAATAATTCTGAGTTTGGCTATTCCTATTAATTGATTTTATTTTTGCATTTTTACAAATATTTAATTTCACGCAGGAAGTGTGCACCCGGCGCCCTCGCATTTATTTCCATGACAACAAACAACAAACATCTCCACATTTTCCAACTGGTGTCGCGAAGTCGTCATGTTTATGAATAAGCTCGCTTCATAACAAAACACGTGGCGTCAGTCAGTCTATTTGTTAACAACAAATTAGTAACGTTAGCATTTAGCCAACTTTCCCCCTTATTGTTTATTCTCCGTTGAACCAGGACACAAACAACCGGGGACCATGCAGGTGAGTTTAAGGTTAAAATAAGAAGCAACGTCACTTCCAAAGGCGTCTTAATTTAGGAGATTGTTGTTGCATCAACAGGGAACAGTTATGCATTAACACAATGTGGTAACAATGTTTATATCTTGGTAGAGACGCGCATCCAGCTCCACGAAGTCAAGGAGCAGCTCTCTCACACGCCGCTACCGCACGCTGGCTCCCACCTCTCAGGTGGATCAAACCCTGTTTGGGAGCCCAAAACCGGTGCGTGAGCGCGGTGCATGTTGTAGCCCATGAACTTGCTGCTAACGTTAAGGGTTTATCCTAATGTTGCTGTGACCTCAGGATCACAACATCAGTTTATGTAACTAATGCTCATTTTTAACACCCGTTACTGAGTGTAATGTGTTGCAAGCAGGGTCCGAAATTGATTTATTTCCCCTCACAGGCAAGGTCACTGCACATTTCTGCAGGCCATTCAAGTTTTTGTCTGCCACTTCTGAAATGTAGAAGGCTTTAGAAGTCAGTGGTACCAGATATTAGAAAATATGGAAGAAATCATGTAAACCTAATCCCTGACTATATTTGTCATTATCAGTTCAGGAAGAACGAAGAGCGAGAGACTATTCAAATAATCACCAGAGACCTCATTCGCAATCTCAGGTAGGCTAACACACACTGATTAACTGCAAACTCTCTCTGTTTGCCTGTGGCGGTATGAAAGCAGTACTTGTACGAAAAGCATAATTCACTTCTCAATAGATGAAGATTTAAGTACTTAAATTTAAATTCAAAATAATATCAAGAACATTTCAAAAGGTGGGCACTATGCTGAGCAAGTAAGATATACTTTGTAATCAATCCCTATAATTCAGAGCTGTTGTATATCATAGAGATAACAAATGAATGTCACGATATTGTAAAGGTGCTCACATATAACAAACCCCCACCTGTCGTTGTTCCAGGATCCCATCAAAGGATCCTTCAGGGGGTTCTATCATTCTGCCATCAGCTGAGTTTCAGCGGATCACCTCAACATCCCAAATTCTCCCCAAGGAGGAGAGGGACACCCAGAGGGAGGCTTATCAGAGGAAGAAAGAGGAGGAAATTGTAGGGAAAATGAAAAACCTCCAATCAATATTGTTCTTTACCTTGCAGATGGACAATAAGCCCTTTACAATTTTTTTATTTTTATTATTTCATCCAGAGAGCTGCAGAGGAAACGAAGCGTCTAATCAATGAGGCAGGCCTCTCACATCAGGAGAATCAGGCACCGACCGAGCTGGAGCTCGAGGCCCGGGACCGAGCGCAGCGCCTGTTGGAGCAGGCCAACGCTTCAAGGATGGAGGAAGAGGAGGAGATCAGAAAGCTCAACATGGTAGGCAGCAGCTGTAGACGTGAAAGTGGACCCGCCAATCATTGTCAATGGCGGCTGATTATTCCTAGTAATGTCATCAATACTTGTGTGTGTGTGTGTGTGTCACCCTCAGCTGATCCTGGCCGCTCAGTGTCAAGCCATGCGTGACGCCCAGATCGATGAGAAGAAACAGATCCAGGCAGAGCTGTCAGAGGACGAGAAGCGCCTGGATGCCATGATGGAAGTGGAGCGCCGCAAGGCCTTGGAGACCATGGAGCAGATTGATGAGCTGCACAGACAGCAGAGGATCGGGTGAGGAGAAACTCAGACAAAAGCCTTCATGGATTGATAATGATAAAAAAAATTGACCCTTTTACCACACTGTGGTGATGCAAAAAAATGTTTGCTTTTAATTCCCCTGACCAACGCAAACCACCTACATCCTTTTAATAAGATTCCCTTTTGTAATCAGCAGTAAAGGCAAAGGGCTTTAGTGTAGTTATCATGCGTTTGTTGTGCCTGTGTTGTATCCCAGGGGAATGCAGAACATTTGCGACCAGATCCAGCAACATCTAATTGACAAGCAAATGCAAGACGAGATGAGAGAGCAGGAGAAAGAGCAGACACAAGAGAAACAGGAGAAAATGAACCTGGAAGACCTCAAGGTGCAGAGACAACACCAAACACAAGCACCTGAAAAGAGCTCTCTACAGAGCATGTATTCACAGTCAAATACTTGCTCTGGACAGTACACTTGCACTGGAGTCCATTTCTTGTCTGACTGGTTGTCTTCTTCCAGGCCATGGAGAAGAAGAGGGAGGAGCAGCAGTGTCTGCAGGAAGAGATCATGCGCATCAACACGGAGACCATGCGGGCCAAGGAGCTGAGGAGAGAGGAGGAGAAGCTGGCTGACACGAGGAATATGGAATACATGCGAAACA